TTTTAAACTTTAGCTTTTTGCATTGAACTGGTAGAACATAAGTATATTAAAAATGACATGCGTGAGCGGCAAATAGGCTCACGGGTTTGTGCACAGTACAGTACGTGCAAATACTCATATCTACACCTTGTTCAGATACCAGCTTCCTGTATATCCTCCATTGCTGAGTCTGATCGTAAGTTTGATCAGTTTTCCCAAGTTTGGTGAAATAACGTTAAAGGTATCCACACTGAAAACAAAAGTATGAACAAGAAAAGGGAATAACTGATCTGGTAACCGTTACACAGTACTTCTTGTTGTTCATATAAAAGCCAAGAAGCTTACGAAGCCCACTTCAGGTACGAACTCACCTTCCCATCTCAAAGGCGTCCTTCTTTCCCGCCAATTCTACCTCTCCTGAGTTTCGTGCCTGGCCATTTTTTTGCCCGAATAGTTCTACAAACACTCTAGCATCTGTTCCAGCTAGATATTTGTTTCCTGTGTACACTGTGACCTTGTAGTTATCAACTGCAAAACAAGTCATTATCAAAGGATTCGAAATAAATTCAAATTATCTTCTATCGTAACAAAATGTCACACAATTCTGTCTACACGCATTGCGTGCCCTTGTGAGTACCTTGTTTGAGCGCCTCGGGACAGTTGTACAGCAGGTTAATCTGCAAGACGTCTACAGCAGATAACGAGTTAACATTCCCCAGTTGCATGCTGGGATCAGATATTGCCTGGATCGTATCTGCCCCGTTCTTGCTGAACTCTTTGTTAGAGTAGTGCATGATGGACTGGAAGTCGTATGGCTGACCAAAGGTTGTAACTTCACCACGTTTGCGGATTTCAAACTGTTGTAAGTGGTCTAAAGTAAATAAGATAGAAAGGATACGAAAAGCTAAGCTGTCTTCAAGATTTATTGGCTTTCAAGGCTGGAGCTTAACTTTGGTTTCCCATAGCATAAAGTGAAGTAGACGAAAAGATTGGCATGTTAAACTTCGCTTTGTTCTAATGGCAGTTTGTCATTCGAGAAATAGACCGGCATTCTGCATTTAGACAATTTCAATGTTGATTAAAATTCCTTTCTCAGAGCAAATCCCTGCACCATATTTAATCTACGGTTAGGAGTTTTGGTTTAATTCTTAAATATACATGAATTACCACTTTTGATGTTATTCCATAAAATCTTGACAAACTTGTCTCGATCTGGTCTGGTGTGCTCGTGGAAAAACCCCAGCGCGTGCATGAGCTCATGAGTCACGTGACCTCTGTTCTTACAGCCACTTCCCATCGACAACAGTTGTTTCCCGCCTTTTTTGCCGATGTATGATTGACATACGCTACTGTAAAGAATAAGAGAAAAAGAACTTCTCAAAAAGCGTCAGTCGAATTAAGATTACATTTCATCATCACACCACTAAAATAGCGGACCGGTAAATTGTCTACGGCTCTTTGTCAATTTCTGTAACCAAGTTTACTCAGGACCTACATTGAGAAAATATTGGCCTCTCCCGTTGGATCAACCGTTAGTATTTTCTGTACGAACCTTGCTATGCTAAAAAACGTTCAAATGTTTTTGTTTATGGTGGTCAATGCGCTTAGCTCCACCCAGCTGGTTCATAGGCATACCACTTAAACTGAAAGAAACAAATATATCAGCTAAACATGATAGGCCAGTTGGCTATTTACAAGCATGACCGAGGAGTTGAACCAGGGTCTATCGTAACTCTAGCTTACTGGCCAGAACGGGACTTGAACCCGCGACCTCCTGATTCCAAGCAAGTCGGTCGCCCTAACCACTCGGCTACGCTGCCTCCTCAACCTGCGCTTTCGAAGCCTGGAAATGATATGCCCCCATGTTACACTCCACGAGTTCAGTCAGCATATAGACAAAAAGACAATTCTCGTATCTTACTTGCTGTCTTCGTAGAACTCGATGTAGTCTTCCTGATCTTGGCGCTCCACAAATCTAATACAGGTGTGTTTCGCGATGACGTCTGCTGCTTCTCGAATGGTTTGTTTGTCGCCACTGTCTGAAGAGCCAAACGATCTCAACTTATAACTAGCATTATTGAAAAAACCAGACATGATACACTTCGTGTGTACTTATACAACGCAGCGCAAACATGAAAGAAGCACACGACCACACAAGAGACCCTGTTATTAAGATCTCCACAAGCGGCACGGTAAGACCCATGCAGTTAATGCGATGATATGGCAGCCATCTCATCGACTCGATTCTCATTTATGACAGAGGAAAGTTTGTGCTCACCAAGTCCTGAGAACCAGCCCCCAGTCCTGACTGTGTAAGGGATGATGACATCAGTCACATCTCTATTTTCGTTGTAGGTTGCTGGCCAAAGACGACCACGATAGAGCAAAGCCGCTCGTTTATGTTTGCGCAAAATTCTGGGCAACTGCTGCGTCTGTTCTGAGACTACAAGGGAAGAGATACAAATTAAACTTGTTAGGTCACTGTTACTGTGTGCATGGACATCTTGCGTGCTTCGTGTACATCACGCGCGAGCGATTTTTTTTTTTTTTTTACATGAGTTCGTGTATTAATATGCGAGCAATATTATGAGCAACTCTTTTAAGTGTTTAGTTTTAGAATTTGACGATGCATGAAGACAATCTTCCACGAATGATGATTTTTTTTTTTTTATGTACATGTATAGCTGGTTTTCATATGACGTCACCAAAATTCGAACTACAAAAGTATTGATCTTTCTGAGGTTTTACTTAAATGATGTATAAGAGCAGCTGAAAACTAATATTCATACAAATTTTCGCTCCGAATGGGTTCTTGGTTTTGTGATACACTACGC